TGTTTCTTTGCGCGCGATTCCACCAAAACATCTAGAGGCGAGGAGTAGAAGAAGGACCTAAAGCGTTGTTTCAGCTGGTACGCTTCCTCAATCGAGGTCGTGGGCATTTGGGAGGAATGACTCGAGGGAGTGGCCTCTTCAGACAGCAGAATATCGAGAATTGAGAAAGGGTCCTCTTCGATTGCAGTTCGATATTCTGACATATCTTCTGGAACAGGGCTGCTTAGTTCGGGCAATGACGCTGAAAGTAATTCGATTGACGGCATCGCAAACGGAGAGGAAGCCGGTGGCTCTGAAAAAGTTGGGGGAGGGGAATCTTGAATGTGGATGGTGGGGATACTTACTGGAAAAGAAAGGATTCGAGAGTGAATCGAAAAATCACAATAAGGAAAAATGAAGTAGAATTGGGCAGTAAAGGGAGAAATTAATACCAGGAGAAGGTGGATCGAGGGGTGTTGAGGCAGGAGGTGAATGTTGTACAGCCTCAGGTTGCTGTGAATCGAAACAAATATTAAAAAAAAAAAAAAGGAAATGTGTAAAGCTAAAAATATATATACAAAATTTAGGAGCTGTACCTCAAGAATAGGTGTTGATGATTGAAGCAAAGAATCGACATTCGTCAATATTGTCGCTGATGGACGGTCCTGAAAATATCGAGATTTAAAATCATGTTATGGATCTTATCGAAATCTAGGAATATAAAATGTGTGTAAAAAGGATCTTACGTGACTAGAATGAGTAGTGGGTGTTGTTTGGCCCGCTTTGCTGACCGTGTTCGAGTCCGTCGATAATGGATTTATAGCAGGTGGCTGAACAGATCGAGGACTCTTCTTCGATTTTTGTTTCTGAAAATAGAAGTGAATCAGCTATGGACAAAGAAAATAAAAATTGAATAAATAAGGCAATAAGAAGTCGAGAAAAAACCTTCGATTTTTTCGAAGATGAAGTAATGGTGGCAGAATGCTTGCGTTTCTTAGTGGGGGCCGAGGGATCCGACCCGTCCGAGGACTCCCAGTCCTTCTCGGGGGCAACAGTTGAAGAAGGCTTTGAAACTATCGAAAAAAGGAAAACCGTTAGATTACAATTTGAAAAAGATTGAAAACATTCTTAAAAGAGGCAAGAAAAATCTCACCAAAGGGTGATGGAGTCAAAATCTTGACTCGGTCGATATGAACAAGCCAGGAAGGAAGAAGAGATTGAGGGAGATTTAGGTAAGGGAAGTAGGATAATTTCGATATCAAAATTTCTTTGTTTTTAGGTTTAGGGTAAAGAGTTTCTTTCGAGGATCTTAACTCTCGAACCCATTTGGGATGAGTTAAAGGTTTGGCTAGTCCAAAAGGAGCTGAAGGGAAAGTGGGAAGATGGTTAGGACAATACATTTCAAATGGGGTTTTGCCTCGAGGATTGACTATTTTGTGGTTCGATCGGTTAGTGTCTGTTTTATTGACTAAGGAAATAACAGCATCATAGAAGGTCGATTCTAATTTCAAGGGGTTGTAGCATACTCGATAAAAATTTTCGAATCGAGATATTTGGAGATAGTGAGAGTATGTACCTTTCTTCGCCTTCGACTTGTCCTGCAACACGAGAGAAGGATGAGCAGTCAATTTTGATTGGACTATGTCAAAATCAAAATGATTATTTGAAAACCAATCGGTCCACCACTGAGAGAAACCAAGAGTAGATAAATAATTGGATTCAAAAATATAAGGGTAAAAATGTATCGGGTTTTTTGGCAGCAGTTTGGCGAGCTCCCGTCCAATAGTCGATTCACTTAATTTGGACCTTGAGGAGGTATCGAGGGGAAAAAAGGGTAAGGTTTGACTCAAACCAAATTACCGCGAGAAAAGCTGGGGGTAATAAGTGATGAATTGAAGATCCTTCGATTGGAAACCCGATACCAAAACATCTTGGGCTAGGTAATTATTCCATACTTCAACCAATTCTTATTGCAGTCCCGGAGTAAGAGCAAGAAATTTCGATCTAAACCATGTTGGCCCTCGAAGTTTGTCACTTGTTTTTCCAAGATACACAGTAAAAGGGGCCAAATTCGAATCAAAATGAAAGCGGGTCAACAAAAATTGTAGGTAATTTCGGTAACTAGCCTCGTCAGGTTTGTAGTGGGGATATCGAGAAGATAATCGAGCACCCTCTAAATTCAAACTTGGGGGGATTTTTGAGGTTGGGGGGAGGATGCTTTCAAAAATCAAAAACCAAATAGGACCTGAAAAATTCCCAGAGGCCCTAGGGGTGTTTAAAATATCGACAGCTTCATCGAAAGAATTATAAACATGGGCCAATAATAACTTCGCTAAATTAATTCGTGGTTGGCCAGTATGGAGAAGATAGGCAAGGTTATAGAGGTGGGATGAAATTTGGATGGATCGGGGGAAAAAGACATGGGTACATAACCAATACACCAGAAAGGCTATATGCTCCTCATCAGTCACAGCTACTGATTGATCATCGACAAAGTGCTTTTCAAGAAAATGCCCATAGGCCTTCGATTCCCAATCGATTTTCGACCTTAAAGAGTTATCCGAAGGAAAAACCCCCTTATAGTATTTCTCTCCCGTGGGCTTTAATCCAGTAATAGCAGCAATTTCGAAAAGGGTGGGTGAAAAGGGGCCACATGGAAGTTCCAATGCATGTAAGTCCTTATTCCATAAATGAACGGCGGATAAAAACATGGACATATCCAAAAAAGATAGATCACACTGAGACAAATGCAGGAAATCGAAAATCCCTACAGCCCTCCAATGGTTCCCAAATTTAGCTTTAACTCGATCAAACCATCTGATGTACAAGGGTTTTTTGTGAGGAGGGCCCGTTCGATATACTTTAGACACGATTTGCAGAAAATCTATTCGAACCTCAGGCTGATGGATAAGAACCTTACTCTCTGAAGGTAGGCTAAGAGAAGAAGAAAATGATCCGCCACAATAGCGGATAGGACCTCCGAAAGCGTAATTTACATTATCAGCAATGTAAGGAATGAGTACTTGTGTCTCAACAATTTTTTGAGAAGATTCTTCCATCAAAGGGACCGGCGCAAACTTCTTCCCATTAATCTCTAGCAGGTTAGAGGTCACCGAGGGAAGTGGTGGGGCAGATAAATCAGAGGATTTGGATGAGGTTGCCATTACAGTCGGTAGAGCAGATGAAGACGAAAGGTAGAAGACGAAGGTGCAAAGGAGAAGTGAGTTAAGTTCGTGGTAAAAAACAAGGGTAAAAGGCTAACAAACGTTTAAAAGAAACCAACTAGGGTATTGGAAGCGATGGAGGCGAAGGGTAATTAATGCGGCGTGTGCAGTGTGACAACAGAGTGATTTGATATGTGACATAAAGCAAAGAAACCCTAGAAAAACCCCAGAAACCCTAAACCCTAAAAGTTATTTTGGGCCTCCTAAACGTTTGAAGGCGGGAATCATTTTGTAAGAATATAAAATAAAAATTAATATTTATATTCTTCCAAGGGGACATTTTGTTAGTAGGAAATCGATAAAGGGATCGAAAAACGAAGGAAAGAAAAAATCGAGGATCATATGATTGGTTAAAAAACTGATAAAGTGAAAAGATGGTTGGAAAACATTCGATGACCATGTAACAGTATGGACACATAAATCGAGAATCGAAGGAGGAATATTTAGTGTCTATTGTTGAAGAAAATTGAGGAATTATAATCATGTAATGTTAAGGTTAAGGTCAAAAAAGCAATGCAAAGTTCTCGAGATTTTGAAATCGAAATAGAGGGAAAAGTTAACATACACGGCCATCGAAATTCTGGCTAAGTTAGAAAGAGAGGAACAGTTAACGCGCACATAGAACAAGGGAAACGGTTTCTAAACCGTGGCAGAGATCGAAGGTCAAGGGAACAGTTATCTCATGCATGGGAACGTGAAATACAGTTTTTTAAACCGTGGAACTGAGAGACGTGCATGGTGGGTCATGGTGGCAGTTTTGTTAACTGCTCTTAGGAGGTTATCTGAAGGGTGCCCTATAAATAGAGCAAAACTTGAGGAAGAAGGGGAAATTGGCAGAGAGAACTGGAACATTAGTGAAAAAGTCTACTGGAGAATGACGAAATCATGAAGTTTCTGGCGATCTGGATTTTCATTTTCATTGATTGTCTTTACCGCTTTTTGTACTTTCCCTGGTAATTTATGTTCATGCAATTTATTTTGATGCAGTTTACGTTCAAGCAACTTTAAGTTTCTGCACTTTTAATTCCATGTTATTTTACTTTTATGTAAGTTGAGATTTTGCGTTTAAGTTCCTCGCTATTTACACTTATGCAATTTCGATTTCCTGTTATTTACATTCCTACAATTTTGATTTCTCGCTATTCATACTTAATGCAAATTTGAGGTTTCCGTGTTTTTACATTCCTGCAATTTAATATTCCGCACTACTTTTCGATTTCGACACTTCTTTTTCTTCGCATTTCTTAACAAAACATTAAAAATATGTACTCTAGGTCATGCCGTTTTACACTATAAGATTTTCGATTATCATGCACTTTTCTATTGAAAACTAGTTGCTAGTCTAAGTAAAAAGAATCTACATGGTCGAAATTTGATTAGGACTCAACTCCCCATAAATCAAAATCAATCAAATTTTCACCAGGAACAGATACATACATGTTATGAATTTCATAAATGTTGAGGAAAGATTTGAAAGCAGGAAATGTTTCATAAGTTTTATTTTAAGACTACATACCTAATTGGGATTTTAACACCCTCGTAAAGTCCCTCCGTCCAATGCTTCACGAGGATGTCTATCCTATCAGCAATCTCCATTTTCCCACTTGAAACAATTCATGAACTTCATAATTTCTATTTTGGGAAACAATGTTCAGTATGTTCCATTTTCTCTTACCTAGACTTTTAGTCTACAACCCCGGAAATATTAGCAGCCTCACCAAGTGCCTCTTTCCAATGTTCCATTTTCTCTACCGTTTCAAAACTACATACATGTTATGAATTTCAAATATGTTATTCTTAGAGACAATATTCAGTAAAATCTGAGGAAACAGAAAGTGTCTCATTAAACCTGGAAGATAGATCTTCAAACCCTGAGATGCCACCAGCCCCACCAAGTGTCTTCCTCCAACGCTGCATCCGATCCACCAACTTTTCCTCTTTCTGTTTCGAAATCTTGTTCAAGAGATGTTGAAATGCTTTTCCAAATTGACCTCTTTGATGGCGCACTTCAGAGGGATCAACATCATAGAACACTGGTAGTACCACATGCCCTATGGTTCGGTGACACTCCATTATTTTGATCAACTCCTTTATACACCATCTCGACTCTCCATAATTTTTCGAGAAAACAACAACAGAAATTCGAGACTGTTCAATTGTTAGCCGTAGAGAAGGGGAAATTTGCTTTCCCCTTGGAAGTGACTCATCATCCTTGAAAACAACAATTCCAGCATTCTGAAGAGCAGTGTAGAGATGGGAAGTGAAAGAAGCACGCGTATCTTCTCCTCTGAAACTCAAAAACACTTCAAAATTTCTGTCCTGGTAAAGATCATGAAGAAAGTCCGTTTCTATGTCACCATCGCTATCGGAAAAAGCCATGAGAGAGACGAAAGGAATTTGTTTCTAAAGAAGGATTATGGAGCCTGAGAAAAATGCTCATAAGCATACCAACGATTCTTACATTAACTTCCGACCACCGCACTGCTTGCAAAATCATTCTCAAAGACTTCACGTCAACTTATAAATTAATATTGAATCAGTACATTATTAGTACAGTGACATAAGCAAATGGAAAAGGCAAAATGAAATAAAAACGAGAAAAAGAAAAAGACAACACTGTAAATATAAAATAGAATATTCATGAATAATGCGTTATTTTAATTATTATAATTATTTGTAAATGATTATAAGTATCGTAATATTTATATATGTAAATATTTAGTAATATTTTACATCTGATTTTCTTAAAAAAACCGCAAAATTGGAACTCAGTATACTTATGATTGAAGACTGACGACTAAGTTATTAAAATATTTTAATAATAATTTACAAATAAATTATATTTATATTTATGCGTGTAAATATATAAATATAAAATATATTTATATTTATATATTTATATATTTATGTATTTATATATTTATATATTTATATATTTTATATTTTATATTTATATATTTATATATTTATATTTTTATATTTTTATATTTTTATATTTTTATATTTATATATTTTTATATTTATATATTTATATATTTACACGAATAAATATAAGTATAATTTATTTGTAAATTATTATTTGAATATTCTTGATATAATTTACCTACGGATAGAATTTTGTGGGTAATATCTGTAAGTAATGTAAAATTTACCTACGAATTTTTATCTACCGTAGGTAATATTTTGTAGATAATAGACTTTTTTATGTAGTGTAATAAAAAAATAATGTTTAAAATTTGGTTTTATATATTTATATTTATAAATTTGAAATTATTTTTGAAAATATTAATTTTATTGAAATTTATATTTTATATCACAATTTATTTAAATTTATTGTTTACAAATATTATTTTATTTATGCTTTTATTTAAATTATATTTTAAGAAATATTTTATTTAAATTTCTATGTTGAAAACAATTTATATCATCCTATTTAAAATTAAAATAATAAAAAATATTTACTAAAATCCATACACTTACAGTAAAAATGTTCAAAACTAAAATATTATAAAAAAATCAAAAATTGATAAAAAAAAATTGAAAATTGATGTAAACAAAAATTTGTTTTGTATTTTTTTTTTATCGACCCATGTAAATTCGTTTGCATTTTGAATTTAAAATAAAAATCCAAATCAAATTGGTTACTATACTTAGATATTAAATTATGTTCAAAATTAGTTAATAATTAAAAAACATATATACATATATATATATACATATATATATATATATATATATATATATATTTTAAGATTATATATGTTATATTTTAATTATATTTTATTTAATATATATTTATACTTATCAAAATATTGGAATAAATTTGTATTTTATTTTTTTATGAGTAATTTATATATGAATTTAAGAAAAACTTAAAATTATAAATATAACTATAATTATTAAAAAATCATAATTTATTTGACCATTTATATTAATGTTTAATATAATTTTTATAAATAAATATTTTGCAAAATAATAAAAAAAAACTGAACAAAATCAAACTGTAAACATCCTATTAATATATACAAAATAATTTTTAATGATTAATAAGTAATGGATAATGAAACAGAGTTCTTGAGACTATATATTTTTTATTATCATTCTTGATTGAAAGATTTGAAAAAATATTTTGTATTATGACTAAAGGTATATATATATATATATATATATATATATATATATATATATATATATATATATATTAATTACATAACTAAACAATATATTTCAAAAATAAATATTAAAAAGTATTTAGTTAGGATATTCCAGAAAGATACAGGAAATTATGTTAGAAAAATGAGAATATTATTAGCATCTCAATTTGTTGCATTGGATAATTTAAAATTAAATAGTAAAACAAATTATTTTAAAATATTAAAAAATGAAAAAATTAGTACAATAGAATCATTTAATTAAATAATGTGGAAATAATAGTTTAGAATCCTGTATTTTGTATTAATATAATAATAATAATAATAATAAATAAATAATTAAAAAAATAAATTGACTGCATAAATTATCATTTCGGGTATAACTCAAACAAATTGATTTTTCTTTGATCACTGTGACACAAAAAGTCCCTTTAGATCCATTTTATTTCATAAGAAGAGAGCAATGTTAAATTTGGTTTAGGAATCCTAGATTAGATAATGTATTATGGAAGAAACTTAATTTTTAATGCACTTTTGTTATGAAATCACTCTTAAAAACTTTCCCATAAGATACTTCATTTGGGATACTTCATTTTTTTTTTTTTCAAATTCCTTAGGAAGATATCAGATGCATCATTGCTCTCTATGCTCCAATGTCTAAGTATGTTATGGTTTTGATGGATTAATTATCGTAATTGGAAAGAAGGAGTTATTTACAAGATCGTAGATATGCAATATTAATGGGTTGCATTTTTTGGAAATAGAAAATAGGGACTTTTTCTACTTCTATTTCAGATTTTGAATAACTAGTTTCTACATGAGAGGAAAAAACAAACTATTTTTTTATTGAGTTATTATCTTCTACTCAATTTCTTCATTCTTGATAGAATGAGGGTAGAAATAAGTTTTATGACTTTATCGATTTTGCGAAGACAATTTCTTAAAAAGTGACCCTTTTTTTTAGATGAAACATCTTTCGTCACAAGATTTTCTTTTAATCTTTTTATTTTTTAAAAACTTGAAAGCCTTTTTTTTTGTTAGCTAGGTGTTCAATAAAAAAATAAAAAGACAATTATTAATAAAATTTTTAATTTATAATAATATCATAGAGTAAATATTTAATAAAAAAAATAAAACTACTTTCATTTGATGTCAAAGTAATAGTTATGAATAGTCATCGACTCCGGTAAAAGTAGAAGAGTACGACCTATTATGAGATATATAATGCATTACGGACATATGATCATTATGCTTCAACCAAAATATTCTATTCCATCTTGCAACAACAAGAATGGGAGAGTCAAAGTAAAAAAGAGAATTCTTCACTTCTTTCTCTTGTTCAAAACCGGGCATGGGACTTTCATATCGTACAACTCCTAAGTGAGGCTCCTAAGTAATAAAAGAAAGAGAGTCAGTTACTAATTAAAAAAATTATTTTAATGAATAATTTTGTGATAACATATTTAAAAAATAATAATTTCATCATAATTTTTTACTATATTTTGAACATCACAAAAATATTTTTTTAATGACTAATTTTATATTTTAGAGATGAATAATTTAGTTTTAAAAGCATTTTTTCTTGGAGAATAATAAAAATTCAGATCATTTAAACATTTATTTATTATAGATGTAATTGAAAATCAATATCTTTATTATATTTAATTATTTATGATTAAATACTATTTTCATATTAATGTATTATTTATTCATAATTAAATACATTTTCAGTTTTGAACTTCAACATTTAGTTCATTATAATTATATATATAAATTTTGAATTAATATTTAATAAATGTAATTGAGAGCTAAATAGGTAAGAAAATGGTCATTTGTGTTATAGTTATGATATAATTACAAACTTTATTCAAATTTGACTTTTTACTTTATTTTAAAATAAACATAAATTTAAAAATTATTAAGATTTAATTAATATTTTTTATTTTATTTATATAAACCTAGTTAGTTACTCTTAATGATGAATTTTTTGTAACTCTTATATCACATATGGCTTAAATTTAGTTTTATTCTTTGAAAATGAGTTAATTTTAATTTTGGTTCTCATATAATATATTTTTTTATGTCTCTACAAAAAAAATACTGCTTTTGGTATATAGTATTTTATCATATTTATTAATCATTTATAAGTAAAAAATATTGAAGTGTCCATTCGAAGTGGTTCATATTAGTGTTATCATATATAATATTATAATTTATATATATCACCTAAGAAAAGCTCTTAAAATAAATAAAAAAATATTATTTATCATCTTATATAATATATGAACATTCATAAAATATATAACGTACTCATATTAGTAATTGAAAAATAGAAAAATTATGAAAAAAAAATGTAATATATATAGTTTTTCTTTAAAAAAAAAAAACACATAGATTTCATGTTAATTAATAGTCCAATGAATATCAATGTTTAAATTTTAATTTAGCTAAGCACGATCTTATTAAACACATGCTAGACATGGTTGTAAGTTTATTTTTTATATATTTTTTAAGACTAATATAAATTAGAGATTAACTTCAACATCAAATTAATTTAACTGAAGTCTAAATAATCATTGTTAATAAATTTTTATTATTAGATAATATCTAATAAAATAATGTAGGTCTATCTTCCCTTTTACTAAATTTATTTTCCTTAAAATTAATAAAATTTACAAAAAGCAGGTTATTTTTTTCATCATTTCCCTAAACATTTTAGAGAAACATGTTAATTATGATTTTGATCAAAATATTCCTAATTAAAACAACATCATTATGTAAATGTTGTTAATTATTGTGCACCATGTTTCTCACTTCTCAAAAACCTAAAATATAAGACTTAGATGATTTCATCATAAAAACTAGCAAATAAAAAAAACAAAAAATATTATTTAAGTAATTAATAAGAAGAAAATATAGTAGGTATAAATTTTAATTAATAAGAAGAAAATAGATAAAATTAATGAAAAGTAATAGTGTTAACAAGAAGTAAATGTCATAATCCTAATTGATTATGCCTATGGTCTAAACTAATTTTAATGTGACTTATTTTAATTAACAAAAGTAATTAATAAAACATAGTTATTACATAGAAACTAATCAACGTTATGGTTATCTTTCCATTTCAACCATGTGATTATAATAAATTAATGTTAATGAATCATTCATCACTCATGTTAAAATTTTAAAAAATAAAAAATAAACCCCATTTTCTTGCTAACAGCAAAAAGTGGAACTTGAACAGTCACAGTAACTATCAATCGGGACCGTAGAAAGCATATGCATCAATGGCTACTTTCCACATTTTTTATCTCAGTTTTTTTCTTCAATTTATAAGTCCCCTGCTTCTTATGACAATAAGAATACTTTATTTACAGCATCATATACAAAAAGTTTCTCTCTTTCACTCTCTTTTCTTCGTAACTCAATCAATTGCTTTTGCTTTTCTACATGGAGTTTGATCCATGCTTTCAAGGGCCACAATATCTTTCAAGTGTTTTTCCTGGGAATCCCTACTTGAAGCAACAACCTCAGACCATGTTTCCATCCCAAAGCTCCATTCTCATTCCACCACCTCAACCCATGATGTTTCACCCTAACCAAGCTTTTCACCATTTTCAAGACCAGATGATGAATGCACCTACCCACAACCCTCCTTTTGTGATGGAGGGTCCTTCCAACCCCATCACTAACCCCATTTATGGAAATGGAATATCAAACCCTTCTTTGGGTGATGGGTCTTCCCTAAGAGGCTTCGTTAACAGTCACCAACCTGTGATGTTAGCACCAAAGAACAACAACAAAATGGAAGCTTTGTATGACCACCACAAAGGCAAAGTCATATGGGATTTTTCCCAGAAAACCATGGTTCAACCGTTTGAAGCTTCTTCTTCCAAGTCACCATCACCTTTCTGTTTCTCCAATGAATATGGAGTGGGAATGAATGAATTTCACAGGGTCACTGATCAAAGTGTAGAGGTGGAAAAGGCTACCAACAATGTTAATGATAATATAATCAAAGGACAGTGGACTTCCGAAGAAGACAGGTATACACATCATGACATATATGTTCTTCTTCTTTTTTTTTTTTTTTTCAATATGAAAAAATAAAGTAATTATTGACAAATTTTGCTAATGCAAATTTCTTGCTAATGTAATAAAGTTTTAGTAAATAATTATAAATTTATATGTAACATTATGTAATGAATTCCCTTTCTTTTACTATTTTAAAAATCAGGCCAAATATCATATAATTGATTGAGAAATTGTTTTGTTGTTTTTTAAATAATTACTACTAAAAAAATACTCATTTAAAAAAAATAATTTAAATTTGTCAGAAACTTATTTCTTCTCATTCTTATAAAAAAAATTACAAAAATATTTCTATAAAATATGAAAATTTATACCAGTGAATCAATGTTTAATTGAAGAGATAAGAAATTAAAAAAAAATTAACATAAATAACTAAAATTGAGAAAATTAATTAGATTTTTATAGTATTGATAAAGAAAATTTTAAGATTAAAATTTATTAAATTTGTTTAAAATATATAATATTTTTTATTTTTTTTATTAAGTTTAAAAATAATTATTTTATTATATTTTTATTTTATTTTTATATTATTAATATTTTTTTATAATTATATTTTATATCTAGAATCTTCGTTGTAATATATAATTATTGTAATAACAATACTTATTATTATAAAATTACTGAAATTATTTTTTTTATAAAAAATATTATTATTAATATATTTTTTATTTTATTAATTTTAATTCGACTCTGTTTACGTCTAAATGAATCTATGGATTCTGAATTCTTATATTTATGGGTATTTGTGACAAATACAAATTTAGAATAAAGTGTTTTTATTTTTTGTTTTTAATAAAAATAAAAATAAAAAGAACAATCAATTCAATTGATGTGTGATTAAATTCTATGTGATTTGTATAGATTTTAATTACATAGAGGTGTTCCTTTCATTCATGTGTTTTATGCTGAAAAGTGTATGAAGATGTAATTAATTCAAATATTTGGGTTTTGTAGTGCTCTGGTGGAGTTGGTGAATCAATTTGGACCGAAGAAGTGGTCGCAAATTGCGAAGTTGATGTGCGGCAGAATCGGAAAGCAATGTCGAGAAAGATGGCACAATCATCTCCGACCAAACATTAGGGTTTTTCTTCTTTCCATTCTTATATACATACAATATTTTTAGTTAATTATATATTAAAGTTTAAACTCATATGAACAAATAACATGTATATTTATGTAATAAATTATACATAAACTATATACAATTAATAGTAATTAGCGTAAAAATAAATAAATAAATAAAAGTTATATACAATTAAATTTTCATCTGTATAATTTATTTTTCAAAATCTTTTTCAACACAATTAATCATTTCTGACGTGTTTCTGTGAACAGTCAAATGATAATATAACTAAAATTCCACTTTTCTTTTTATGACTAAGATTGAAAATAATATATTTATTTCTTAAATGAATATGTTATTTATTCTAGACTTTAAAAGATAATTAATTCTTTTTATTTACAGCTCAAATATTTGAATATAGTTTATATTTAATATTATTTTTACTTTATCATTCATTATTATTTTTAATTACTTTATAACTAAATACTATTTAATTATGAATTCTAAAACACTAACAAACTTTCACTTTAACTTCCTATATTTTATTTTTAACGTAATTTTATTTTCAGATCTTTATAAGAATTTACTATATTTTTAAGATAAACTTTGAATATACAAATTGTAGTACAGACTTATAAAGATTATTTTTTATACATAATTATGACTGTGACATAATTTAAAAGAACAGTTATATATAAATATAAAACTGATTTATAAAATATATCCATTAAATAACTGTATTAATAATATAATAATGTAATAATAATAATAATAATAATATATTATTATTATTATTATTATTATTATTATTATTATTAAATTCACTTGTATAATGAAATGTATAAATCTCGTTGTCTATAAATATTTTTTAATATGAAAATATACAATTTTTGGTGAATAATAAAATTATTTTTAATAACATAATAAAGCTTTTGGTTTCTAAAATAATATGTTTAGCGTGTGTAAATATAATGTTTATTATATTTTTTATGATATATTTTTTAAGTTTGTCTTACATTCACCTTTTAAAAATATTTAAACAATATTTTTACTATATTTTACAAAAAAATATTTTTAAATTTAAAAAAAATATTTTTATTTTTTTTAAATATTATTTTCATGGATAGATTACATATCCAGAAAAAAATCTTAATGGATAAATTTTTTAAGTTTTGTTAGATAAATTAAATTTAAAACTAAAATTTCAATAGATCAAAATTAATTAATAATTTTATATGATCCGATTTGCCACTGATATTTTAGTCTATTTTCAAAAAGTACTTTCAAATAAAAATATGTATGTTAATTAATATTTGTTTCTTTGTCACATTTTTACGAGAAGAATGTTATGGAGTTAGATGAGTTCTGAACGTATATTTTGGTATTGAAATTATCATATGTTCTCCACAAAATAATATCTAATTACAATATATATTAAAAAGTTTTGGATTTTTTTTATTTTAAAATGATATTAAACTGCTTTTTGTAACGTATAATTCCAAATTATTTTAAACTGAGAAAAATGTGCAAAATGCTTATTTATACAAGTTATTTGTTAATTTCTATTTATACAATATTTTTTAGCATTAACTTGTTTAAATTTATTTATTTATTTTTAATCCTGATTGTTTTTGGTAAGCTAGATAATATGATATTTTTTTATCAATATTCTATTCATATTATTACACGTTGCTTGAAATACATAAATTTAATTAATTCATTTTTTATTTACAAGTAATATTGTTTTTTATATTGTCGGCGAAAATCTTCACATATTTTATTAATAATTAATCGTTAACAGATTTGATTAGTCACTTTAGTAGGTGACCACTCTTCATTGTTTCGTGATTTGATATAATTAAATATTTTATTTTATGTTTGAATTTATTTGAGAGACATTCCAAAGTTAAGAAAAACAGATTATTTGAGTGTATAGTATAAAATTATACTTTTGAAGCTTTTTAGGTATGTATTCAAAAATTCATTTTCATTTGATGTTTTAATTTAATTTTTGTTCTGTATGAAAATGTTCAAAAAGTTTGTCTTAAAGTTTCTGGAACAACCATATTCTTCCTTTGTATTATTAGAGGAATTGGAGTATATACTCACTCTTTAATTTTTGAAGAAATCTAAGATGGATAAAAAGGACTAAATATTTAGTTTATGTGTGTTGAAATCTTCAATTTTTATACAGAAAATATTAAGTATATATATATATATATATATATATATATATATATATATATATATATATATATATAAAAGACAAGATTGTATTGGTAGAAATAAAAAAAATTAGGAATCAATATTAATTCTAATATTTGGTTGAGGAGAGAATAATGAAATATTTAGTAGGTAAAAATTTAAATTTAATAATACTTGTTAGTTTTAAGTTATTAAATAGATTTGATATTTATTTTGAGTTATATGGTAAATCTTTTGCTAGTAAGTTGTTCTTAACAAAAATTATAATAAAAAAATTAGTTTAAGTGGTCAAGATTATCTAAAAGAATAAAATTTATTAGATTAAATTTTATTAAATATGGAAATATAAGAAAAAAAATTAATATATAAAAACACTTTGATATTTTAAGTTAATATAATAAAAATAATAATAAAAAATCTCCAAACAAAATTATATTCAATAAAATTTGATTTAATAAATTTTAAAATTGCAATTATTCGAACCAATTTATTCTGGAATCAATTTATTTAAATTTATTGATTAATTTGATTAAATTTATTTATTGTTATAATTTTTGAGTAAAACGTGTTATTGATTATAAAAGACAAAATTGATATTTTGTTTGTTACGATTACAAAGATGTTGTGTGTGTTTGAACAAATTGTGTAGAAGGACTCGTGGACCCTGGAGGAAGACATGATTCTGATAAAAGCCCACCAGGAATTTGGAAACAGGTGGTCAGAGATTGCTAAAAGGCTACCTGGAAGGACTGAAAACACCATCAAGAATCACTGGAATGGAACCAAGCGACGTCAGAGTTACAAGACCTACAACAAGAATAAGACCTCCCCTTACGAAGGATCGATGCTTCGTGCTTATGTTAAAAGGGTCACTGCTACTGAAGAAGCTACAAAAGTGCTCAAGAAACCCATCACTAAAAAGAATAAGAAGGTCTTGAGATCCAACGGGCTAGCACCTTTCTTGATGTACACTCGTTGTACTAATGAAGTGTTCATTGGAAGTAGCAGCAACCACGCCCCGATGCAAGTTAACAGTAACAACGTTGCTGGTTACTATGGTGCCAATGGAAAGGATGCAACCAATAAGGGAATGAATCAGATAAATGCAAAATTTTGATCATCTAGGGTTTGCGATCGAGCACGGTTTTCATGTTTCTACCTTCAGTTTATCAATCACATTACTTTACTCCTTCTATTATGTCGTTGTTTTTTCTTAGTTGAACGTTAGTTCTGTTATAATTTAGGTAAGAATTGTTGTTTGCTATTATCCATCTTTCAAAATTTTACGGGTTTTGTAACTCGGTTTTGCTCATGTAGTTTGACTTTATTATAATGCATTGTCTTTTAATCTAAAATATCCCTAAATTTTATATGGCGTCTAACTCTATTACTTAATTTTCTTGTATTATTTCTGTTCTTGTTGTCAGCTTTTAAAATCCTTCCATTTTTTTTTCAAATGGATTTATAGAGAAAAAACAACTCAAGATTTTTTTTCAAAAAATAATAAACTTTGTTCAAAAAATATTTTCTTTAATATAAAAATATAATAAATATTTTATTTAAAAGAAATATAATAACATTATTATATATGAATGAAATAAAAGTTTTAAATTATTAAATTAATTTTATAAAGGAGATATTGCAACATTCTTAGGAGGGTTATTAGGTTTGTATTTTATTTTACTATATTTTGTCAATTTTTTTATTTTACTTTTATAATTACTGAAAAAGATTAGGTGATGACACGTAGATGTAGAGTTACGCGACATCAGGATTTCAATTGAAAGAAGATCAAGGAATGAAAACAGTAATGTGCTCCTAAGTGTTCAAAACACTGCACAGGCTCATCTAACATGATGAGACAAGATGCATCGCACCAACCATATCTGTTCAAGGGTAATTAGCATTTGACAGCATAAATTTTTATTATACATATCCTAATCAAAATAATTTATATGACATGATTCCTGATAGAATTTACACTTGAGACTACCCTCTTAATTATATTACAAATAGCAAAGTCTAAAATTTATGATAGAGAAATGATAGTGCTTAATTTTTTTTAGTTCAACTATGTTGGTACAGAATCTCATGTTTTTAATTTTTTGTCTTAGAGAGTTTTTGTTTGTTCTGAACTTTTTTCAACTTTTGATTGGTATATGTTATATCTGTCTGAAGACAATTGATATTTTATGTTGAGATGATTCACGGACTGATTTGGCATTTTACTTCCAGAATCCTTTTGGATTTGACCATAAACTGAGAGACTCCAAAGCACTGGCTCACCTTATCCAAACCTATGCACGAGCCAAAGAGTTAAATAAAGGGAAGCAGTTGCATGCTAAGCTGATCCGAGGAGGGTGTTTTCGCAGCACCTTTTTGAACAATCACTTCCTAAATTTGTATTCCAAATGTGGAGAGCTTGATTACACCATCAAACTGTTTGACAGAATGTCGCAGAAAAACATGGTTTCTTGGACAGCCATGATTACTGGTTTTGCTCATAATTTTAGGTTTCAAGAGGCTTTGAATTCCTTTTGTCAAATGAGGGTTGAAGGAGATACAGCCACACAGTTTGCAATTTCAGGCGTGCTTCAAGCTTGTGCCTCACTTGGGGCAATTCAATTTGGTATACAGGTGCATTGTCTTGTTGTCAAATATGGGTTGGACGGTGAACTGTTTGTGGGTAGTAATTTGACTGATGTGTATTCTAAATGTGGGAAGGTGCCTGATGCTTGTAAGGTTTTTGAGGAAATGTCTTGTAAGGATGCGGTGTCGTGGATGTCAATGATTGATGGCTTTGTAAAAAATGGACTCTTTAAGCAAGCTTTAGCAGCTTATAAGAAAATGGTCACTGATGATGTTTTTGTTGATCAGCATGTACTCTGTAGCACTTTAGGTGCTTGCAGTGCACTCAAAGCTTCTAGTTTTGGGAAGTCCCTTCATTCAACCATTGTGAAGTTTGGATTTGAATGCGAGACTTTCATAGGAAATGCCTTGACAGATATGTATTCAAAATCTGGAGATATGATGAGTGCTTCAAATGTCCTAGAACTTCATTCTGGTTGTACAAATATAGTGTCTTTGACTGCTATTATTGATGGTTATGTTGAGATGGATCAAATTGAGAAGGCTTTAAGCACTTTTGTTGACTTGCGGAGGAAGGGAATTGAACCCAATGAATTTACTTTCACTAGCTTGATCAAGGCTTGTGCTAACCAAGCAAAGCTAGAACATGGAAGCCAGCTCCATGGCCAAGTTGTAAAATTTAACTTTGACAGAGACCCTTTTGTTTCTTCAATACTAGTTGATATGTATGGAAAGTGTGGGTTGTTTGACCACTCAATCCAATTGTTTGATAAGATTGAAAACCCTAATGATATAGCATGGAATACAATGGTGGGAGTTTTTGCTCAGCATGGTTTGGGAAGAAATGCCGTTGAAACTTTTAATGGGATGATCCACAGGAGACTGAAACCAAATGCAGTAACATTTGTTAACCTTCTAAAAGGATGTAGTCATGCAGGAATGGTTGAGGATGGGTTAAACTACTTTTATTCCATGGAGAAGATTTATGGGATAGTCCCTAAAGAAGAACATTATAGTTGTGTTATTGATTTGCTAGGTAGAGCTGGAAAGCTTAAAGAAGCAGAAGACTTTATAAACAACATGCCTTTTGAACCAAATGCTTTTGGCTGGTGTTCTTTTCTTGGGGCCTGTAAAATCCATGGGGAAAAGGATAGGGCAAAACTTGCTGCAGACAAATTGATGAAACTTGAACCGGAAAATAGTGGGGCTCATGTTTTGCTTTCAAATATATACGCAAAAGAAAAACAATGGGAAGATGTAAGAAGATTGAGGAAGATGATAAAAGATGACAACATGAATAAGTTGCCAGGTTATAGTTGGGTTGATATTAGAAATAAAACCCATGTCTTTGGAGTTGAAGACTGGTCTCATCCTCAAAAGGCAGAAATTTACGAAAAGCTTGATAGTCTTCTTGATCAGATAAAGAATATTGGGTATGTATCTCAAACAGAATCAGTTCTGATTGACATGGATGACAATTTGAAGGAGAAGGTTCTTCATTATCACAGTGAGAAGATTGCTGTGGCATATTCATTACTAACTTGTCCAACCGGGATGCCAATCATAGTCAAGAAAAATTTAAGAGTTTGCCCTGATTGTCATTCTGCGTTAAAATACATTTCTATAGTTGCTGACAGAAAAATCATTGTCAGAGATATCAGCAGGTTTCATCATTTCTCCAATGGTTCATGTTCCTGTGGAGATTACTGGTAATGCTTGAAACCTGGAAGTGTTTTACAAGAAATTATGCTTCATGCTAGAAAATCATATTAAATGAATATCCAAGGACATTTACTTTCACAATTGTTTGCCTCACCATTAAAAACCAGTAGTATGCCATGATACACTAACTTATTATTAACAAGAGTGAGTATTCATGTTTTCATGGTATCCATGTGTCATGAAATTAATTCGGATGTGATCTATAGAAATTCATTTCTCCCTGGATGTTTGGATTGTTGTCTTGTTATGTCTCACATGGGGATCAATAAGGCAATATCACTCTCAATCCACAAATAAACCCATTTATTCTTATGATCAATTTTAAGCATTCATAATGGCAATAAAACATGCCAATATTCTCAAACCTTAATCATTTTTTTTTTCATTCCTAAAACAGTTTTCAAACCATAATTATTCAACAATATTTTTTTCTATCCTATTTCAAAAATAATTTTTAAAAATTGTTCACTAAAACTATTTTTAAAAATTAAAAAACAAAATTAAACCGAACTAAATGAAGTTATTAAATATCAGACACTTTGATTCGATATTGCTGAGTATATATTTTAGGTATTACTGTTAATATTATAGATAATAGTTATTATTTTGATGAACTTATGAATGTTTTAAGAAAATATGAATTTGATGTTGAACAAGGTTATGATAATGGGTCCAACATTAAAGTAGAACTTAGAGTGCAAAAAATATTGATAGACGTAAGGGTAAGATCTTTTATAGATAATATAAAAATGATATTTTGAATTAACTATTTACAAGTATTTTAGTATGTAAATTAATTCATTTTCTATTTTCAAAACTATAAAAATAATGAGCGGTTAAGTTTAATTTTAAAAAAGGATAGACGAAAAATACTAACATGACAGTGAATAATAAAATTTAGGATAGAAAATATAGTACAGTTCAGTTAAAAATTAAAATGATAGTAAGGAAATTTTAACAACATCTTAAATGAACATAAGTTATATTTAATAAGTGTTTTTAATTTAAATATTTTTAAACATCTTATACATTGTATATTATTAGAGGACTAAAATTATAAATAATAAATTAGATAAAACTAGATAACTCACCATGTGTTCAAGGTTAAATTGGATTGAAAAAGGAAAAAAATAAATCTATGGATTAAAATCAATTGAATTTACCTAACCAATAAGTTAAATACGCAGAGTGAACTTGAAAATTTTTTGTACTCATCATAATGTACGAGTTGAATGTGAACGGACAACGAACTTACCTATTTGAGTCATATCGACTAATTTTGACATCTTAAATAAAATCGATCACAATAGATTTTGTTTTTGTTTATGTTTTGTAAAGCATAAGGTCAAAATGTTCTTGATTCGGTCAATTTGAGTCTCTCGTTTTGGCTTTTCTTTCATAATTTTTTTTTTTTATACTAAAACAAAAACAAATATCTACCAACTTAACCAATGCATAATCTTAAATGTGGCTCTACCTCATTGAGTAATAAAAAATGATCAAATCATATATGATTCCACAAAAAGAAAATACCAAATGTGATTAAATATTGTTCTTGCTTTCTTATCGTTTCCATATTCTTTATATTTCCTACATCGCATCAGATACTGCCTGAGACATTTTATTTTATAGAGGTAAAGAAAGTGCCTTTAAGACATTGTTTCTTATTTAATTTCATTAGAACTATAATATGTTAGGTAAATTGATAATTAAATATGATCTTTAATCTAACGATCAAATATAAAACAATCTCATACTGTAAACATGTTATAAACTAAATGCGAAAACGTACCTGAATTAGCTATAATGATGATGTCTCTTTTAGAGCACTATTGATCTTATGGTCTTCCACCTGAAGAGCACATGTATTTCCCTCTTGATTTTCTCTCTTGATGGAGATAGAAAGAAAAGAACGGGACTGTAACTGTGTTCTGTCTACGTGCTCCCAGAAGGGGACCATGACCCCTTAAAATAACCAAAATTAGGTTAATTACTTAAGTTTTAGTATTTCCAATTTGGTCCCTCATCAAATTAGAAATTGCTCTATAGTCTCTACATAATTTTATTTTCATGACATATGCTTTTAGCCAAACCTTTTTAATTTAGTCAGATCACTTTATTATTTGACTTAATAAATAATGACCCTAACACATTTAAATATGTATCATATATATACATGACCCAAATTTTGCCAACAATCTCCCACTGGTCACAAATATATATGTCCTTACAACCTTACAAATGTGTTACACTTTATGAGCTCAAGATTGTCATTATATTCCTTTAGCATATTTCAAAAGTCCTGTCCATTAATCATATCAGGATATAGAACCAAACCAGCTTTTCATTGCATCATCGCAACTAAAACCAACAATGATTACTCATCCTGACATAACCAAATGACATGGATTCATCATGAAATGTGTAGCATGAAAAATTACGTGAAGGAGATCTGTACACGTCTATTTTCAACTGGTCCAAACTTTAACTTATCGAGATCGATATAATAACCTTAATGTACAAAGTGTAATGAATGAATAAGAAAACCACATATCTATAGATAACCAAATATGTCCAAAAACAATGTATACATATATAAAATTAAATATAGAACATAAAATATATGAAAATGACTAACTCTCACTAAACCACAAATTCCTCAAACTGTAAAACACCCATGTGAGCAACATGCTCATGAAAGACCTTGGGCGGAAGTCCTTTAGTTAGAGGATCTGCTATCATGGAGTTTGTCCCTAAATGTTCTATGGTAATCTGTCCACTCTATACTCTTTCCTTAACAACTAGGAACTTAATGTCGATGTGTTTTGACTTAGTCGAACTTCTGTTGTTGTTGGAATACAATACAGCTGATTTGTTGTCACAATATAACTTAAGTGGTCTTTCAATGCCTTTCACAATTTGCAGCCCTGTGACAAAATTTCTCAGCCATATTCCGTGATTCGACGCCTCATAGCATGCTACAAATTCTGCTGCCATAGTGGATGAAGCTGTAAGGGTTTGCTTGACACTGCGCCAAGAAACCGCACCACCTGCTAACATGAAAATGTAACCTGAAGTGGATTTCAAACTATCTTGACATCCTGCAAAGTCCGAGTCAGAAAACCCAACGATTTCCAACTGGTCTGACCTCCTGTATGTGAGCATGTAATCTTTTGTTCTCTTTAAATATCTCATGACCCTTTTTGCTGCTTTCCAATGGTCCATTCCTGAATTGCTTAAATATCTGCCTAGAACCCCAACTATGTATGCTATGTCTGGACGCGTACATACTTGGGCATACATCAAACTCCCTACAGCTGATATATAGGGAATCTTTTGCATTTCCTCAATTTCCAAATTTCCCTTTGGGCACTGATTGAGACTAAACTTGTCTCCCTTAGCAACTGGAGTATCCCCGGATTTACATTCATGCATGCCAAACCTTTTAAGAATTCTTTCAATATAGCTCCTTTGTGATAATCCTAAAATACCCCGACATCGATCTCGGTGTATCTGAATTCCTAATACAAAAGACGCATCACCAAGATCTTTCATTTCGAAATTCTTTGATAAAAATTTCTTGGTTTCGTGCAATATGCCCATATCATTAGTGGCAAGTAGAATGTCATCAACATACAAGATCAGGAAAATATACTTACTCCCCTTAAACTTGTGATATACACAATCATCAACAATATTCATCTTGAAGCCAAATGAGAGAATTACTTGATGAAATTTATAGTACCATTGACGAGATGCTTGTTTTAGTCCATAAATGGATTTTGTCAGTTTGCAAACCATACTCTTTGAATCTCCCTGCACAAAATTTTCTGGTTGCAACATATAAATCGTCTCATCAATGTTGCCATTAAGAAACGACGTCTTGACATCCATTTGATGAAACTCCAAATCATAATGTGCTACAAGAGCCATGATTGTCCTAAAAGAGTCTTTCGATGAAACTGGAGAGAAAGTCTCTTTAAAATCAATCCCTTCCTTTTGGGTATAGCCCTTAGCTACCAGACGAGCCTTATACCTTTTCACATTACCTTTAGAATCCCGTTTGGTCTTAAATATCCACTTGCAACCAATGGGTCTCATACCTTCTGGTAATGGGACAAGTTCCCAAACCTTGTTGTCTTGCATGGACTTATACTCCTCCTTCATTGCTTCAATCCACTTTTCAGAGTTAGAACCTTGCATGGCTTGACGGAAGTTAACTGGGTCATCTTCCATCATACCATTGTTTTCCTCATGTTCCTGAAGAAATATCATGTAATCATCCGAAATAGCACTTCTTCTTTCTCTAGTGGATCTCCGCAAAGTTATTGGCTCATGATGCACAGGTTCTTGAGGATCTTGAGTTTGTTCTTCATGAACAACCAAATCATCTTGAGTAAGGGGTTCATTAACAATGCCTTGTGGAGGTTCCGAACTTACTTTATCAAAAATAATTGTTTGAATCGGTTCTGGAATTGTTACCGATTCTTCCTCCAAGGCAAAGTTCCTGATTTTATTCTTCCCCCCAAACTCAATATCCTCAAAGAACGTAGCAGTTCCCATATCAAAAATTGTCTTTAATGTGGGATCATAAAATTTATATCCCCTGGATCTTTCAGCATAACCAATAAAATAACTACTTACTATTCGTGAGTCCAATTTCTTTTCATTTGGCTTATAAGGCTTTGCCTCAGCTGGACAACCCCACACATGGAAATGCTTCAAACTAGGTTGTCGCCCAGTCCAAAGCTCATAAGGTGTTTTGGTCGCTGATTTAGTTGGTACTCTGTTCAGAATATAAGATGTCGTCTTTAGTGCCTCTCCCCAGAGTGACTCTGGTAAGGTGGAATGAAAAATCATACTCCTGACCATATCTTTAAGAGTTCGATTTCGTCTTTCAGCTACACCATTCATGCTAGGTGATCCTGACATGGTATACTGTGGGACAATTCCACACTCCTTTAGGTACTTGGCAAAAGGTCCTGGACGCT